CGTCAGCCATGCTGGGTTTGACATACAAAGTGGAGGAGGATTGGCACAGATGTTAGCTCAGGGCTAATCTTCCTCAAGCAAAAACAGGGGAAGATTGGCACAGATGTTAGCTCAGGGCAAATCTTCCTGGCCAAGAAAAAAAAAGATTTTAAAAATCATTTAAACAATGAAACAAATAAACATCAAAGGAGCACCACTAAGACTGATGACTTTCTTCCCAACAGCAAGAATGGAAGCTACAGTGCAATGGAATGACATCTTTGAAGTGCTGAAAAAAATTCTATACCCAGTAAAAACAATATTCAGAAACAAAGATGAAATAAAGACATTTTGGAGAAATAAAAATGGAAAAAATTTATTTCCAGCACACTGGCACTAAAAGATACTTAAGAGAGTCCTTCAGACATAAGGAAAATATTTCCAAATGGAAACACAGATATGCAGGAAGAAATGAAAGACAGCAGAAAGGGTAAATATGCAAGTGAATAGAAATGAATACTGACTGTACAACACAATACTAGAAATGTCTTGAATGGGAGTTAAGATATCTGTAGAAAAATGCATCACAATAATAATGGCAAAAAAACAGAGTGGAAGTCTTCGAAGATTCTATCAATATCAGGGGATTGTCAAAAGTAACTACTTGCGTTAAACTGTAATAAATCAAGGATGAATGTTGAAATCTCTAGAGTAACTACTATAAGATCAGTAAAAGAACGTATAACTAATAAATTAATAGAGAAAAAAATTGAATAACAAGAAGTATCTAATTATTCCAAAATCCAAAATAAAGCAATAAAGGAGAGAAAAAGGAATCTAATTAAGTAGGTTAAAGAGAAAATAAAATCTAACATGGTAGATATACACCAAACTATATCAAATTAAATATAAATGTCAATGGACCAAATACACAAAGTAAAAGATCAATATTATCAGATTAGATTTTTTTTTTTAAAAAGGCTACTATATGATGCTTACAAGAAATCATAAATATAAGAACACAAGAAGCTTGAAAATAGAAGGATGAAAAAAGAAATACCATGGAAATACTAACTAAAAGACAGCTGGCAGTATTTGTACTAAAAACAGAAAGACTAGACTTTAAAGCAAGAATCATCATTAAAGATAAAAAGGAACATTTTATAATGATAAAGTGGTCAATCCATAGAGAATGTAAATGTTAATTGTGGTTATATCATTTGGGTGGCTCTTCAAGCAGTTTTTACTTTCTTCATCATACTTTCATGCATTGTTTGAAATTTTTACAATGAGCATGGATTATTTATATAATTTGAAATAAAACAATAATTTCTATTGTGGGCAAAAAGAAAGAAAGCAATGAGAAAATTTAAGAGTAATCTGTTTCTAACTAAAAAGTTTGAAAAGATTTGATGGCTATTATGCCCTGATTACAACTATGAAAATTAAGTCCATAGCGCCAGGGCAAGAAAATAAAAATAGTACTAATTAGAATCAGGTGGAATACTTCACAGAAGAGTGTTACATAATCTTATTTTCCTTTTAGTCTTGTTTAAGGATTTGAAGATGGTCAAATAATTCTGAGTGTATTTTCTGTAAGAAGATGGTAATACTACTTTAAAAAGAAATATGGGAATAGTCCAAAGGGAGGAAAATATTGATTCATTAAGTCATTCAATAATTACTTACAAGTACCTACTATGTGCCAGATACTGATTGAAATTATTACTTCTGAGGCTGTGCAATAATAAGAAATATATATATTAGTCTTTGCCACTGGTTCCTGACAGAGCTCCTGAAACCCTTGTAATCTCCTAAGTGATAAGAACACTAGGAGAATCTTTTGTTCTAATATTTAGTCTTTGACACCAGTTCCTGATACAGGGCTCCTAAATCCCTTAGAGTTTCCTGGGTGACAGGAATGTCTTTTGTTCTAATGAGGCAACTCTGGATGGGCTCCTGAATGGCTCCTGGTTGGAGGCTGGTCACCGAAAAGACCAAGCTATGATTATAAGCTTGGAATTTTCAACCCCACCCCGCATTCTCCAGAGAGGGGAGAGGGGCTGGAAATGGAGTTAATGATCGATCATGCCTAGGTGAGGAAGCTTCCATAAAATCTCAATAGTATGAGATTCAGAGAGCTTCCAGGTGGTAAACATATCCACATACCAAGAGGGTGATGCATCCCAGCTCCACGGGGACGGAAGCTCCTGCTCTGGGGACCCTCCCAGACCTCACCCTATGTATCTCTTCATTTGGCTGTTCATCCGTATCCTTTATCACACCCTTTAATAAACTGGTAATCGTAAGTTTTAGTGTTTCTCTGAGTTCTATGAGCTGTTCCAGCAAATAACTGAATCCATGGAGAGGAGGTCATGGGAACCTCCAATTTGTAGCCAACTCAGACAGAAGTTGTGGGTAACCTGGGGACCTACTACTTGCAATTGCCACCTGAAGTGTGTGTGGATGGAGGCGGTCTCATGGGACCGAGCCCTTAACCTGTGGGATCTGACACTATCTTCAAGTAGATAGTGTCAGAATTGAGTTAAATTGTAGGGCAGCCAGCTGGTGTCACAGAAAATTGCTTGTTGTAGGGAAACCCCCCCCCACATCTAGTGTCAGAAATGTTGTGAGTGTGGTAGTGGTGTGAGAGTAAAGGAGAAACAGAGGAGGAGGACTGAGTTTTTCCCAACACAGGCAAACAGAATATTTTTCAGCCTATGAGGGAAATCATCTATGAGATTACTAAATGAAATAACAACAGGCCATATATATTTGATAGGATTACCCAATAATAAAGATTTCCTTAAGGTACATTAAATTGAATTAGCTATTCAAATTATGGGAAATTTTAGAGTGTTTATAACTAAATGATACTCTGAGAATGAGTAAATCTGAATTAAAAAAAATAAAACTATCCAAAGATAATCTGAAAAGCATAATTCTATTATTGAGCTTGATATAGGCAGGATATAAGGTAAAGAATAAAGGCACTATATTGAAGGATTCACAAATCCATCCGGCCTCCAAAGTTGGATCTCCATTAGGGTTCCCAATGACTGACAAATTGTGATGTTCAAAAGCTTTTTCTCCCTCAGTCATCCTCTTCCTAAGCTTTTCAGCAGCACTTAACGCTGTTAACCTCTACGAATCTCTCTACTTCTTTGGTTTCTTTAAAAAACAAAACAAAACAAAAACACTGGAAACTAGTTTTCCTCTTCCTTCTGACTATTGCTCAGTTTTTGTGGCTGATTCCTCTTCCTCTAAACAGGGTTTTGATGCTTGAATATGGATGATCTTAGGAATTGTACCTGTGGTAATGTTTCCCTTTCCCTCTATACATGTTTTCTGCCTTATTAAATTATGGTGGCTTCACCCACTATCTCTATTCAGATAAATCAAGCCCATATGTCTTCTAGTCCCATATGGACTAGAAGACCTTCAGTTCTGTATTTCAACCACCCCTGTGATATCCCCATTTGCCTATGCCAGTGGCACCTGAATTTCATGTTCCAAACTAAAGCTACCATTTTAACATCCTCTACTGCAAGTTAACTGTTCTCTTTTAATGTTCCAGATCTCAAATAATGGGATCACTATTCATCCAAACCAAGTTCCTGTAGAATCCAGTGAAGAAGGTATTTCTTTCAAATCAAAGTCCTCCTCTCTGTCTCTACTGCCACCACTTTAGTTTGACTCCAAAAATTTTCCACCCGTATTACTGCAAGCATCAGTTTCCTGGTCTCCCACCACCAGACTCTCTCCCAAAAGTCTACCAGATGTTTTTCCCTTTTTAACGAATTCATCTTTTAAGTTCCTCAATACCTTTTAAACTATGGTCTTCTTCATTTCCTTCTGAGCTAAAATTGATGTTAACTATTACCAAGGAATTTCTAAACACATTTTCACAATTTTCTCTCCTTTAATACAAAGATAGTCCAACTGAATTATTTTAAAAGGCTTTAAATTTTGAAGGTGCTTTCTTTTCCACTGTCTCATAGTGTAAACTCGTATCACCGTATGACAACCTAAGATAAAAATTCTAAATTTATAAACCAAATACATTAAGAGCTAATAATTTACATTATAATGATGTTTTTCATTTCTACTGAGTCATTGCTTACCATTCTTCTTATCAAAATGTGTGGTTCCAGTTGTATAAATATTTGACAGAGTTTATAAGTGAAGTGTTTATTATCCATGACTTATTTATAAAGCCTTCTGATAGCTTATATAATTTTTAAGGAATCCGTACTGTTAAACAATTGAAACACAATTTTAAACATTTATGTAATTATAGAATTTTTTCTAATATTGGATATTAAATATATAATATTTATTTGCAATTTCTAAAATATTTTGATTGTGGATGCTGCCATCATTTCTCATTGCAAATATATGTTAATCATCATTACCATTGAAAAATAGCTATTAAATTAAGAACTAACTGTACTAAGTTTTATCTTAAAAAATATATATATATTATGTATATATGCACATATAAATGTATTTATGTGTGTGTATATATATGTAGTTTTAACATGTAAAATAAGCTTCTAATTGCAAACTTAGTTTCTTAATTCATACCAATGAAAGATTCGATGTAAATTCTTTCTAAAATCCTTTTGGCGTTAACATTTTCTGATTCTATTACAATCTTCAAGATACATTTGAGGAGAAAGAATCAACTCCAACCACTTTAATAAGGAACAATAAGATTTTCAAAGATTTTTCTTGCCATTTCTTGTGTATTGGTTTGATATGATTTCAAATGCATTCGTTTATGCCTTAAGTGAAGTTGTTTTAATCAACCTATGACAAAGACAAAAAAAAAAGTTGTTTTGATGTAAGAATGAAGTAAGTTGTGTCTGGATGTCATCATCTCATCTGTTGTTGTTGATAAGAACTCAGTAGCTCAGCTGATGACCAGCACTGCTGGGGGCTGATCAGCAAGAACACGTAGAGAAGCAACTATGGCAAGGGGACATTACACTCAAAATAGCCAGAATTTTGAGGACTATTCCAGAGTTTTAGTCTGGGCAAGGCACCACTTTGCTGACCTAAATAAACTCTCTGCAGACCTTGGGGCATTAGCTCCTACCAAGCTAAGGCAACTCCTTGTAGTTTAGTGGTGACAAAGCGAGCAGAGGTCCCAGGAAGAAGATCAGCCTGCCCACCAACCCTGGGGCCTTTATTCCCCAGCAATGTGCTCTGGCAACAGGGGAATTTTCACTTGTGTTTTGCACTGGCAGGTGGATGTCAGGTCTCAGTTGGTTAAGCCATCTCTCCTGAGTGCCTACTCATATAAAAAGGTACACCTCGATTAAATTTGGACTTTATTCCTTTCCTCACCCCTTGCCGGGAACAATACTGTGATTAATTTATCATTAGTTTGGAGTATGTTATATTATGTTAGGTTACATTGTATTTCTTTGTTGGCTTATTAAGAGACATTTTCCTCTATGCTATTGGCTTGTGAAACTGATAAATCTCACAGTGAAGCTGTGTTAAATAAACTATTGGGAAAGATAGTCTCAGTCTCTGAGCATAATTTTGCCCGCTAAAATGAAACAATTGGTGTAGTCAGCAAACCAAGTCAAAACTAATAAAAATTAAAATTGGTCAGTGCTGTGGGATACATCATAATCCATGCCAAATTTGAAATACAGGCTGATAAATTCTATCAAATTTATAGTTGACCAAATCTGGCAAAGCCCATTACCAGATTGACAAACTTTAAACTTAATATATTGTTTACCATCTATGGCATCCTAGTGAAATTATAAACAACCTGTGAATACACAAAATTGATAGAGCTGTTATAGTTTGGATGCTAACAGTGGCCATAATAGTTATCTTACTACTACTTTACCACGTTATAAACCATTTGGAATGCTCTATTAAGCATCTCTGTAATAAAACGCTGTGAAGGCTATTGTGAAAGGCAGGAGGACAATAGCAAACATGCCTCGCTCGTTAGCCTTAAACCAAAATTACTCAAGAGGTGGTTTCAGAGTAGAATGGATTATATACCAACTTCTGAGGACCCCTGGAGACCCACTGAAGACCTAGTCCAAACAAAACTTAAAATCAAGGACACTCCAGATATTGGCCTATCCACCCAGCCCAGTAAGTTATATCCTATAAAAAAGAGCAAATAAGGAAGGAATTCCAGCACTCTTATTAGGAGCATTAAGTAACATAGATGCCAATAGACGGAAAGAAAAAGTGTTAGCACAGAAAGTGATCTCCCGAGTAGGAAGAAACCCACACCTTTTTGCTCCTATGGGCACAAATTCACACCTCGAGAATAATGATTATTTTAATTATTTTGACCCCGGTAACTTAACCTACTAGAAGCTAGGCCCATTGAGAATCGACAAAACTACAACAAACGACAATATGGATCCAATCAGAGTCACTGAAGAGAGAGCTTACACTAGACAAGACGTGACAAAAATTAGAATGAAATTCCAATGAGCTAGTAAGCACACAGAAACCCAGTGGCCATTAGATTTATGATCCAAAGGAGGACACTACCTGATCCTCACAGGAGCAGAAACTGTGCAACTTGGACACATTACCACTCATCCTAAATTTAATCAACACCTTGGAGCATTCAGAGAAAGTAGTGTTAATTTACAAAGATCTTTGTTCGATGGGTAGCAGCAGCCTGGAAATTAAGGTGGCCTATACCTAATATATCATCCCTTAAAACATCTCCATGGAAAAAAGCAGTGGAAGCTACTGACGTAACAATGAAATTAGAACTATTGACTATGGTTTATGACAGGGACAGACACCCTCACCGCTACATGTGGAAGCAGTAGACAAATAAAAAAGGTCATCCTAAAAGCTGCACCCACGGGACAGAACAGTACTATTTACAGTATTGGCAGGTGTCAGAAACACAGGAGAACCGACTGACTTGATAGAATGGCTGAAGAACTAAGTCAAGATCAAAGCTGTAGCTCTAACACTAATGTACATAGACAAAACAGGCCTACCCCTAATGTAAACAGACACAATCAAAATAGACCATGTGGACCTAAATCTGCAAAGCCCCTTTGGTCACCTAAACCATTCAGACTACCACCCTTTAACCCAAATTACAAAAACAGAAACCCAAATAGAAATCCCAGAAACTATTTAGAGTAGCAGAGAAATGAAAATAACCAGCCTTTTAGTAGTAATAGACCTACAGAAAATACACCTAATAACCCATTGACTGTAAATAATAATCCCTTTATAAAATCTAATCCCATTAATAGACAAGCCACTGATAGGCAAAGAAAAGAAAGCCTGATGAGCTCCCTTTAGGGACTCAGCAGTCTCCACCCCCCAGCCCAAGCCAGAAACAATTGCCCATATGTTACTGTGGCCATTTCAATAGAAACTCCTTTTGTAAATAAAAATACTATATATACTACTATGTTGTTAGATACAGGGTCCCAAGTAACAATGATACAAAGGTATCCTACTAACTCAGAAAACCTTAAAAATAAAACAGAACTAATAGAGGAATTAGGAGGAAAATTAACTCCAGGAATGTGGGTATATAGATTCCTAACAATTGATGACAGGCCATCCATTAAGGCTAAATGCCTTTTAGGTCCCAATTTAGAAAACATTCTTGGAATAGATGTACTAGGACACCATAAAACAAATAAGGATGTGACAATTCCTAAAACTAATTTGGCTATGGCAAAATGGACTGAAATTAAACTGCTTGTGCCATCTACAATAACAAATATACCCCAATACAATCTTAAGGGAAGACATATGCAAATTAAGGAAAAAATTCAGGAACTCCTAAAGGAACAAATTATTGTGTCTACTATTTCACCATATAATAACCCAATCTGGCCTGTTAAAAAGCCAGATGGGTCAGATAGATTTACAGTAGATTACAGGAATTTAAATGCACACTGCCCCCAAATTGAGGGAGCACTCCCAGATTCAGGCACTATCATAAACATTATCTCCGCTGGATCTGGAACTTTCTACACAGTAATAAATTTATCAACATGTTCTTTGCTATTTTAACTGATAAGGAGAGCCAACTCATGACTGCATTCACATGGGAAGGTAGATGACATCAGTTTACCAGGTTACCACAGGGATATCTTAACAGCCTGGTGATAGCCCACAACCTTCTAACACAAGACACCCAGGCCTTTCAGGAAAACACAACACACACACAAACCATTATTTCCTATATTAATGACATCTTTATTTATGGTGATAACTTGGAAGAACAGACTGGGGTCAAGATGGAGTTAACAGAACTGCTTACACTCAGAGGATGGACAATCAACCCAGGTAAAGTCCAAGGACCCTACACTACAGTAAAATTTCTAGGCGTGATTTTGTCCTCCCAAGGTAGGAAAATACCAGACACAGTCATAAATGAGATAAATTGCATCCAACTCCTACCACAAAACAAGAAGCTCAGAAATTGATAAGACTGCTTGGATATTGGAAACAGCACATACCACATATGAGGATAATATTGAAACCCATCTATAAAATATCTAGGAAGAGTAAGAAATTTAGATGGATAGAGACTCAGGAGGCAGCCTTTACTAATCTGAAAAATTCTGCAAGAACTTTTAACACATTGGCACTAGTTAATGAGGACTCTAAATATAAACTAGAATGCCCATACTCATAAGGGTTTGCAACATGGTCACTGTGGACTAAAATAACACAAAGCCCCAAATTTTACCCAACTGGGTATTAGACTAAGAAGTTCTCATGGCCTGAGAATAGACATCAACCAATTGAAAGGCTAACCTTGGCACTCTATGAGGCCTTACCAAATACAGAGCCACTAACAGGAAACTAACCAATTATACTTAAACTCTAACAGCCTATTCTGGATTGGGTAAAACAGATCCCTGACAAACAGAGGGGAACCGCCCCTGACCATAAAGTCCTAACAGGGGAATGGTATATTTCCAAGCAGAACACATGGATGGATGGTCTACTCTGCATTAATTGAGCAAATCTCAGCAATGCCAATAGTGGACTTGCCAGAGTTCCTGAGGGGTGAGCCTATCCAAGTTCAAGCAGTTGAACAATGGGGATCAGCCTGGTCCACAGCACTCAACAACGCATGGTTTACAGATGGATCAGCCTCTATGACGCCATCTGGAGTATGCCGGCGGGCTGCATCCTTGAGGTCTAATGATGATCTAATTCGGACAGATCAGGCTTGGAAGAATCAACACAATATGCTGAACTAATAGGCATAAAATTGGCAATTGAACAATTTGTTAAGGAAAATCGAAATGAGGTATATCTTTTCTCAGACTCGTGGACAGTAGTTAATGGAATAGCTCTTTGGTCAGGAACATGGTGGGAAAATAGGAAATAAGGACGCATGGAGTAAGGACACATGGCAGAAAATAGAACTAGAGGACATCTCCATACTCATCACACACGTGTCTGCACGTCAGAAGGACAACTCCTAAGTAACCAACTTTAATAACCAGGTAGACAAACTCGCTAGGAAAACTAATGAGGCAAGGATTCCTAAGATTTATCTTAAGAAACACAATGATTTATGGCTAAAGAGGAAACCAATTCAAAACATAACCATACATAAACAAGGAGAGCAATGGAATATAAAACCTGAACACACAAATATGTCAATAGATAGGATCATTGCCCGGGCACATCACCAAACAGGTCATGCTAGTATACATGGCACTAGAACATGGTTAGAGGAAAGAAGCATGTCTATACCTACCAAATACCTCCAACTTCAAATTAAGAGATGTGAGAACTGCCGAGAGTTTAAAGCTTAGAAGTCATTAATGAATATTCCAGATAAGGGCAAAGTTGACAGACCCTTCCAAATTATACAAATTGATTATTTAGAACCCTTGCGTATATCAGAGAATAAACTATATGCATGCACCATTGTAGGATTATCCTATCCTTACAGTAAAAGTGATCAAAAATCCACCATGAGAGCACTGGAAATCTGGATTGCTTGCTCTGGTATCCCAACCATCAAAGAATCAGACCAGGGAACCCACTTCACAGGAAAAGTAATAAAAAA